TATTGATTATTACTTGTTTATATATTTAAAAGTAATAATTAAATTATAAATATAAAACTTAATAAAAATTCTCATATTGATGTTAAAATAAGAAGTTTATATGAAGATTCTTATTGTATATTTTTTCTAATCTATTAAGTATATAAATAAATATTAATAGCTATAAAATTATATTATAATAATAATAATATATAAATATTATTAAAGAGAAAATGTATTATAAAGATAATGATATTTGTTCTAAAATATTGATTTGAAGATCAAATTACATATCTTTAGCATAAGCAATTGAGAAATATTATATATTTATATATATAAATTATATATCTCTTAATAAACAATAATATAAAAGATATATAACATAATTCAATTAAAAGATAAATGGATTATTTTATAATATGAAATTAATATGAATATTTTTTGTAATTCATTCAATATATGTTAGTATCATATCTAATGCTTTTATAATATTAATAAAATTTTAATAATTATTTCAAATTAAAAAATCTATTTATCTGTATGTCAAAATATTTGAATATTTATTCAAAGAATATCAGTTACAAATATCAGTTTAAACATATCTACAAACAAAACCAATAAGACATAAAGTTGACAATAACGTTCTTAGGGACGTACTTGATTGAATTGTAAACTTTACCCGCCTAAAAACCGGCTGCCTCTTAGTTAGTTTGTATCTTGCCATACGATGTGTAGTATCTATGAAAATTAAAAATTTAATTTCTTAGAAGTATTACACAGATATTATATAATTAGAAAAATTAACAGATTTATATGATTTCGTTTAATAGTGCGAAAATATATGAATCATTTAATTAATATTTATAAAATAATTTTACACGAGTGTCGGATTTCGACATTTTTATAAATTCATCAGTTGGAACGTCAATGTTTTCATGAAGTGAATATCCTCGATAAATTAATGTATCTTCTATTTATAATTATACATTTCATTTAATTTTACTTTATTTCATTTTTCACTATACTTTTACTAATTCGGTTTGAAACGGTAATTCTTTGTCCGTTTTGTCCTTCATTGATAAATATTTATTTGATAATATCTTTCGACTATTTGATACCGTTAAAACCAGTAAACCAAGAGTGTTGATAAAAGTAAAGAGTAAATTTGAAGAAATTTGATTAAAATGAAGCTAGACACACGCGGTGTTATTAGTTCGAATTGGTATCGTCGACCACGAAAACGTCCGCTGGTAGGACCCACAGGGTCTCCTCTCCTAGACGCGACTTTAGCTGTGCAAACTAGAGCTTTTCGATGGTTTCGCAAAAATAAATCTGTCAACATTACAAAGCGAGTCACATTTCGTAAGTACTTCCGTAATATATAATTCATTTTGAAACTAAAAGTTAAAAGAAATCCATCCGATCATGCGTTAAAGTTGTTGTTAAAATCTACATCAATAGTGGAAGTTAAAAGTTCGTTATCCTACAGTTTATTTTAAAATAATTTATCCAATATATATTTTAAAACATATTGAATAATGGCAATTAGTTAATTGATTATTATAAAATTAAAATTAATTATTATATATATTATATTTGATATTATATTTATGATATTTTAAATACAAAAAAATTAAAAATTTTACAATAAATTCAACAAATAATGTAATTTTATAAATTAATAACATATTAATCATGCTTTATTTTTAATATTTTTTGAAAAATATATAGAAATATATTATACGAATTTATATTCGTTATTTTAATTGTTTTTTTAGGAGATGAAGCAATTATATCTATGTCGGTAGCCGGGGAAGTAACCGACACTTCAATTATGGAAGTAGGCCGTTCAAGACCTCAATTCCAATATTCCCGGGTATGATATACTTTTACTATTCGTTTATACAAAATATTTTCTTTACCTAACACATTATTTACAATTAACCTTTTAAACAGAGAGAGAAAATATATCCGCTGTGACAAATTATTCATATTATGATCCAAGCAATTATATAAAAAGATGATTATGTGCAAACTTATATTATATATAAGTATATATATAATATATAAATAAATTTATGTTACCATCTATGTTTAAATTAAATTTATGAACTTATGTTTCAAGTTTTTGTATTTACATTTTATGTTTTTACATTGATTATTATCATATTTATTTGAATGATAAAATATCTGTTTTGATATAAAAGAAGATTATTTTATACGTGCATATATATATTTTTTAAATTTATTAATTTATTAATTTTTATAATATTGAATTTTAAATTATAAAATATTATTTCATATTTAAAAAAAAAATATGCATAAATTATTTTCCTGTATAAAAGATTGAATGTTTATTGTATATCGTAAAATTGATGAAATAGTTCATGAATTTATTTGTAGGAGGAATTAATGCTGATAAAGAGTTTGCCATTATCTAAGAGGAGGCCTGATTTCTTAGATACCTCATATAACAAGTATGTTTTATGTTTATATTATATTATATAAATTTCATATTCATTTTATTATTTTTTTATTGTTTTGATGATTTTTGAATTTTATTATTGCCTTTATGAATATGATGAATTATGAATTATATTTATATTATATTATATTATAATATTTTATATATATATAT